GCCGGGCCCGCGGTGGCTCAAGCCCTGTAATCCCCAGACTTTTGGGAGGCCGAGGGCCGGCTGAGGGATTATTTCACAAGGCCTCTCACTACGCGATGAGAGTCGATGGATCGTCATCAGCGGCGACAATCACGGGGGCCAGATTGTGTGTTTGAATTATGGCGCGTCTCTACTTGGCAGAGTGCTAAAATTCAATACAAAAACACACGAGCACGGTGCACAGAGCGACACGTGGTGGTGGGCGGCGCCTGTAGTCCCAACTACTGAGACTAGCATGGGTGAGGCAGAGGGCGTCCTTTAACTGGAGGCAGGAGAATGGCCGTGAACCCGGGGGGCGGAGCTTGCAGTGAGCCGACGATTGGCACCCACTGGCACTCCCCAGCCTGGGGCAGCAGAGGCAACGACTCGCCGTCTCAAAAAAAGACTTATTTTTACGGGATTAAAGAGGTCCCAGTCCATTCACCATCAAACTTTTTTGTTTTTTTTTTTTGAGACCAGCGAGTCTTGGCTCTGTCACCCGGCTGAGTGCAGTGGCGATCTCGAGCTCACTGCAAGCCTCCGCCTCCACCCGGTTTAACGCCATTCTCCTGCCTCAGGGCCCATGCCCGAGTAGCTGGAACATACAGGCGCCACACGACACTCGCCCGCGGCCTAGTTTTTTGTATTATTTTTAGTAGCAGAGCGGGGTTTCACTGTGTTAGCCAGGATGGTCTCGATCTCCTGACCTCATGATCCGCCTGTCTCGGCCTCCCAAAGTGCTGGGATTACAGGCTTCAGCCACCGCGCTCGGCTACATCAAACTTTTAACCTCATCCATTCTCAAGCATCTTCCCTCCTTATCTTGCCCTCCCCATCCCTTAGGCCCCCAGCTCAGGCCTGCTCCCTGGCATGAGGTCCTGCAGTGGAGAAGGGGCGTGGCCTGCTCTTTCCTTTTTTTCCTCTACTTCCTTCCCTTTCTGGTTCTTCTGATGTCAGAAGGGAGATTAGAAGAATTAGAGGAAAAGGGACAAAAGTCGTTAAGTCACCAATGCTGTTATAATTCCACTTGGATGCCTGTGTGTAGCAGGCACTCACACCCTGGCTGTCCCAGTGGGCCTGATTATCATCTCCTTGGAGGCTGTGTGTGGACCTCAGCAGTGCCCAGTTTCCTGCAGAGGGCAGTTCTTTTGGCTGACCTCGAGTGAAGCCCCCCTTCAGGGGCCGCCCACAGCCTCTTGCTTTTTGGATCCCTCCCTCCAGCGGACTGGAAGTGCACATGTCCGTGCCCTGCCAGGCAGAGAAAGCAGGGCACCTTCCTTTTTGTGGAGAATGGGGTCTCGCTATATTGCCCAGGCAGGTCTCAAACCCCTGGGCTCAAGCTATCCTCCCGCCTTTGCCTCCCTAAGAGCTGGGATTACAGGCATGAGCCACCACACCCCGTCAAAAGCAGGGCACCTTATGGCTGCCTCTCTCCTGCCCTGATGAGAAGCAGATACCAGTCTCCATGCTTGTATGCCCCCATCGTCCAGGGGAGGTCTACAGAGGCATTGCAGAGGCTGAGCTCTCCCAGGAGCTCTCCCTCCACTCTGTGTTCTGGTGGCAGCCCTGGAGTGGTCTCATGAGGCAGCCCTGGAGTGGTCTCATGAGGCTCTGCACTCAGCAGGAGTCCAGTCTACAGAGACCAGGCAGGTTCCCCTTCCTGCATCACCAGTCCCTGAAGCCTGTTGGACTCCTGGAGTCTCTCACTTGACATGTGACACCCAACCTCTCCACAGACTCTCCCTCTCTGCCCGCCCATTCCAGCCACTTTTCTCCCCTTCCAGGAAATCCACATTGCCAGTCATTTTTTTTTTTTTTTTTTTCTAAGACAGAGTCTCGCTCTATCTCCCAGGCTAGAGTGCAGTGGCATGATCTCGGCTCACTGCAACCTCTGCCTCCCAGGTTCAAGCAATTCTCCTGTCTCAACTTCCTGAGTAGCTGGGACTACAGGCGCCTGCCACCATGCATGGCTAAATTTTGTATTTTTAGTTGAGAGAGCCATGTTGGCCAGGCTGGTCTCGAACTCCTGACCTCAAGTGATCCACCTGCCTTGGCCTCCCAAAGTGCTGGGATTATAGGCGTGAGCCACCATGCCTGGTCCATATTGCTGGTCTTTTTATATAGACAGGGTGGGACACAGGAGTAAACATCAAGTTTCGCTCTTTTGGTGAGCTCAAAGAAGACACCCATAGCTCCATGGGGCTCTCATTAGAACGTAAGGCAACTATTTGTCAACTATTGGCCTCAGCTCAAGTCTTTGGCCAGAAGGCCAAGACCACAGAACTAG